TCTCTCTCTCTCTCTCTCTCTCTCTCTCTCTCTCTCTCTCTCTCTCTCTCTCTCTCTCTCTCGCTCGCTCGCTCGCTCGCTCGATCTCGCTCGATCTCTCTACCCAATACGCCTTCACTATTTGCGCACAGAGATCTCCCAAGCCACACAGGAGGGGAACGGAACACACATGAGGATTAGGGACGATTGCAGGCAGTGACAAGTGATGACGGAGAGGGACAAGTAAACCAAAACTGATTCAAACCTCCCTTACCTTTCGCTTCAAGTTGTATCTATGCCAATCACATCGATAATGAGCCTTTTGTGACGGCTCATCCGAAAAGGTGACATTGCATGCATTACAAGTCAAGACGGACATGGTGGCGATGATCCAATCTCTCAACGATGACTTCCTTTCCTCTCCGGGACCGAGCTGTCCGCTGCTCCCACTGCCAATCAATCCTCAGCGAACCTCGCGTGCATCCACGCTAACAGATCGAATCACGTCTAAGGCCCCCGCGCTCGAGACCGACCAATCGACACTGAACGATGGCTGAACTCGGCAGGTTGTCCTGTCGGTCAAGGATCGGCTTCCAGACGATACAGCGCTTCTTCCCCGCCACTTGTCCTGCGAAAAACGGGCCTTGCCAACTCGGGGCCTACGTTCCGATGCTCCCTGACCAACTCCAACGGCCCGGTTTTCTTACCATCACATCCGTACGACTTTCGGCCCACGGCACATCCTCCCGACCGGCTAAGAGAATACTCACACTACGGTAGGCCCTCACTCACAATAGCAGAATCGCAGAATGAGCAGACAGATCGAGACCTTCTGCAGGGACTCAGGGCCAGATCCCACTAGCCCCTATTGTTCATTTCTGACCGTTGATCTTCGTAATCGAGGGTGAAAAATAAATAATCCAGGGTAGTGGGATCTGACCCTCAGTCCGGCCGCCGATTTAAGGGGGGGGGAAAGGAAAGGGCGACGGCCTTGACATATCAGTTTGAAAAAACATAGGATAACTCGCGAGATACCCCTACATAAGTTGAGATATACGGCAAAATACCCCTAAAAGATGTGGGTCGAGCGGAATGCCCTTTTGGGCCTATTTCTTTGTGTTTTGCCCCTGTCAGGCCCATGTACAAATTTGCAATCTGGACCGCGTCGTTGGGGCCCGGGCCTGCACCCTGTTTTACCCGGTATGCTCTCCATCCCGGTGGACAACTGTGCGCAATACCCAGGCCTATAGGCGAGGCAGTTTGCCTCTGTGATTCAAACTTTCAAAGTTGTCCGAAGTGTCACATTGTGTTCGGCAGCTTCGCCCTGGTAAGCTTGCCCATCTCCAACTCCTCCTCCCCCACAATTCCTCCAAGTTCTCCTTGTTTGCCCATCCGAGAGAGAGGGCGCACCCACAAAAGGAGTGGTGACAAACTTTCACCAGACCCTCACCACTCCTCGGTCAATCTTCGGACTCGCCAACGAGTGCCATGAAGCGACAATCTGCATTCAGGCAGTTGCGGGCCAACCCCAACCACTAGCCCATAAGCAGACGTTCACTACTACGGCTGCCCAGAAAGGCACCCACAACGACATCCTGAGCGAACGACCGCCTATTTGTACCAGCCGCGGACTCAATTCAGGTTCGACCTTCCTCATCCGTCATCAGGGTTAACGAAGCTAGCAAACAAAAGTTTTTTTAAGTTTACGATAACACTAAACTACTCCTACAGACAATTGTTTACCCGCGAAAAACCCAACCAGGCATGGGCGCATGTGACTACTGTTACTCGTGCATAGCTTTTCGAAAACGACCTAGTTCAAGTTTGTTTACGAACTACCGTTTTCACCCGAATATAACGCAGTCATTATAGCGGTATGTCGACTGAAAATTGCATCAAATATGACTATATGACCGACCGTTCTATTCGGGTGAAGACCGTAGTTCATTAACATTCATAAACATTATAAAAAATGGCGATGTGGATGTGAGAGAATCAACTGTGTACACCTTGAACCCTTCGAAGCGAAGTGGGCATGCCTATATTGAACAGATGCATGTCACTCGTTGGTCTAGTGACTGCATCTTAGGAAGTCACCAACACCATACGACTTAGGGCATTATTTTAAGACTACGCCTTCTGTGACTGAGTTGGCCTCGTTACACTGCCCCGCCCTACTATTTCCTTACTCCAGAAAGAATCGAAGGGTTTCATGTTCAATAGGAATAACGCCTTGCCACTGACCCATACCGAAGTGAACGCCAAGCAGCGCAATAGATCAACAACTTGAATGTGGCCAAAACTGCAGTCATATAGGCTCAGGGAAGCGCTACCCCTCTTCACCCGAATAGGAAACCAGATCATTATAGTTGCACCGGGTATATCTTCCAGTCAAGATGCAGCGATAATGACTGGGCGTTCTATTCGGGTGAAGATGGGTAATCTGTTCAATATGCCTTTACTTAGTTAAAATTGAAGCGGGGAGGACCGGGAAAGCAGAGGGGACAAATATGTCTTCTTATCTAGGGGAACGAAATACACATGAGGATTAGAGACGATTGCAGACAGTGACGAGTGATGACGGAAAGGGATAAGTAAACCAACTCTGATTCAAACCTCCCTTACTAAAGGAAGTGCTGCCAAAATTTCTACTAAAACCAAAGAGTTAGTTTATTTCCAGATAATCTTCAAGTCCTTAGTTTTCTTTTTATATTTCGTCTAGTAAATATTATTCGAGCACACTTCCCTAAAGGAAGTACTACTGTTTTTTTTTTTCTTTTATATGGTTACCGGACGTTACTGGTAAGTAGTTTAAAGTGCGATAAAAAGTTGATCTCTGTTAACCCGATAGACGGTGTCTGTCTTGATTTTTGTGACGTAGGACATTGTTACCTGCGAGTGTTGTCAAAGGGCTTGAGCTTCATAAACTTCTACTATTGAATTGATAGAAGGTCAGTTTGCAATTCAACTCCTTCGCACCATCATACCCACGTCCAGATGTATGTGACCCCGTAGGCAAAAGACATTTTCGTATAAATAAAATTCCTATCCTTTGAACCTCTCTTGAATGACCATGTAAAAGCTGTGTAAATTGAACGGTCGGGTATGTCTTTGTTAAGAGGGGTTCAGAAAGAGGCGTGAGGGATATGAACCTGGGAGCAAAGGGGTTGACCACGTTTGTGGCACTTGCGTGTGGATTTTTGTGGGACTTCATATGTGTTTAGGTATGTATAGGAGCAAGGGTTCGCACCTGGATTGAAAATAATGTGGATGAATGAGTGCAGGGTGTAGGTGACAAGATTCAATTGTGGTTGTGAGAATGACGCTCTCTGATTTTCTTTTAGACTCGGACTTTCCATTTTCTTTCTCATTTTCACTTTCTCTTGCCGTGCGGATGTAGCAAAAAGACATGAATGGTCGAGCGCAAGGTTTAGCACTCGACCTTCAACCGGACGAAGATCCGGTTCTTGTACGTCGAATTGCTCGATAACCCACGACTACCTTTTTTTATCTTTCTGTAGGAGAGGAACGAGCGAACCTCATCTTGAAGGACTTTGTTTTTTAGATTACTGGTCGGACATTGGTCCCGAGCCAAAAATTTGAGGTCCTTGTCCAAGGCATCCCAGGTTCTGGTCCAACATAAAAGAGTTTCCCCTATAAGTCGGACTTACATACCTTGCTTATTGTCACCAACTGCCTAAAAGTTAGGGGCGCTGCAAGGGCTGAATGACTTATCCTTCAGTCGTTGAATATCATGAAGGATGGTCCCTTCACGATATTTCGCTTTCGACACTTTAGTGTCATGTGAGAGGTTCGCGGTTGTGGACAACGCATGAAGCGTTGCCATGACAGTCGATTGAGTGAGTACACAAGACTGAGTATTGTGACCTACTTTGCGCGTGCATTCTTTTTATGTCACTTTGCGCGAGCCTCACTCATACACTTTAACGTCTTCTGAGATATGGGTTGGAACGTTTGAAAAAAGAGACTGAACTTTTAAGTCAGTTTTATTATTATGTTGCGTGACGTATGGTTAAGTTAGGATGTCTTAGTCGACCGACAAAGAAACACACGTGGGAGATCAACGCCCCATGTGATGGCTCCCGTGCGGGGCCGATCTATGCGTGGACCACGCGTACCCCTATACTACAACGTACGAGAAACACCCTCGACTTGACCACCTCCGCGATTGCACATAAAAGCTTTCGTTTGTGGTTCAATAGCTCAGCGGGGATACCCAATGGATGCTGACAGTTCCCGCGGGTGGAGGTAAGTTGTACCTCGTAAGACCCTATCCTGTCGTAGGGACTCGAGGGAGGTATAGTTGGCGCACTCGGTTGGAGAGGCTCCGTTGCTTCTCCCTTTACGTGATGCGACTCGCAAATCTGCCAATGCTGCGTGACATGGCCGGGAAGGTCCCCTAAGCGGGGACCGTGCACTCAACAACGCAGTGGGCGGGTAGCTTCGGGATTTTAGGTTTAGGTGTATTAGTGCTCAAAGGACCGGTCATGCTATAATTTGGACCCCTTTATGCCCTCTTCTGCGTGGTCGTCCCCAACCAAAATTATACCACCTTCACACAGACGTCGGACCCCACCATACGACAACCCTTAGGGCTGCAAACTGTTGTTTACCGCGCGGGCGTGGAGAATGCAGCCTTAAGGTAGCCAAAGCAATGAGACTAAGAGAGAGAGAGAGAGAGAGAGAGAGAGAGAGAGAGAGAGA